GACAGGAACAGGTTAGAGAAGGGGCGGGGAACTTCTGCCTGGTTTAGAGCCTTCCCGATTCCAGCACACCTGATTCAAGTGATCACGATCGTTTCAGGCTTCTACAGAATTTGCCGAGGAGCTGAACGATTGAGAGAAATCGAGACAGATTGCACTTGTTTGTCGACATTCAAACAAGCGCATTCATATTCACACCAAGAGATAATCTAAAGTCTTCCGTGCATTCAATTAGCATGTTGGGGGCGGGGGTGTGTGCTGGATTTAGGATGAAGCCGGAGTGCCGGAAGAAGCCCGCGAAAAAAAGGCAGGCGCGGAGATTCGAACCCAGGAGCTCTTCCCCATGAGGGAGGGAAAATGTGCTTCAAAAAGTCGACTGGAGGAGTTTTACAGTTTTCCAGAAACTCCCACTGCGAGATTCCCAGATTATGAACGTCTGTTGTAATATAGCGTACTCGTCATTACGGCTTTAAAAGAAAGAATAAAAACATTTTCCAGTCAGGCATCAAGTGCCTTTGCCGTTCCGAAAAGACGCCCTGTTGCGTCAAATATTTTGTTGCCAAGGAGACCTGTGACAAATATTTGGAAAGGCCCTCTTTGACAATAACACCGCCGGATACGACGGATTGCAAACACGCCGGAGGATGCTGGAACGGTAGCGCCGTCGATCCTCGCTGCCAGCGTGGCTCTGGAACGCAAGCGTCGTCAATTCAAATGTTTTCTTTCTTCTGTCATGCGAGCGGTGTCGTGTATTTGTGCGGCGATACCTTAGCGATGTGCCGGCAGACTTTATGAGGAGGGCGCTGCAAAGCTATGCCAGTGACATATGCAGGGCCGGGAAAAACTCTTTGCCCCCTTCCTGATTTCTGTGTCACAGACAACCCAAGGAAATACAAAATGCACTTTCTAAATGCCAATTTAATTCATTTAGAGACACAGCCAGCATCTCCATTGAATTCAAATCCGGACTTTGACTTGGCCACTTCAAAACCTTAATTTGTTTTTGTTTTTTTTTCTTTTGAGCCATTCGGAGGTGAACTTGCTGCTGTGTTTCGGATCATTGTCCTGCCGCATGATCCAAAAGCGCTTGAGTTCGAGGGCGCAAACTGATGGCCGGACGTTCTCCTTTGGGATTTTCTGTTTTTAATTAGACGGGAGTCTGACATGACAGAAACGAGGGATTAAAAACGGTTTCAGGTAAAGGCTCCGCAACATAAACGATGAGGAAAACCACAATCGGTCCGATTCCCGTAGTGCGGGCGATTTGTGAACTTGTGGCGTAACACAAAATAGGAATAGTGGGCCAGCTGCTAAAATTAACATTTGGTTTTGGGCCAGTGACCTTGGCGATGCACGAATAAATGAATCAATAAAATCAAATGGAAATTTAAATGTGAAACCCGGTTTTTCCCACATGACGTGCCAATGCTTCAAATCCTCAGACGCGGTTCACGCTTCACGGTCCAGGTGGGGGATGAATCAGTGCAATTGACAGGCTGCTCACGCAAAATCTTTCCAAGCCGCTCACATCAGACAGTCTGTGAAATACAATCAGGCACGGCGGTTAGTCCGCCTTGAGGCTTGAAATGTCATGAGCGCTGGTGGTTTGAAGGAGCGCCCTCGCTACGTGTGAGCCGGCCTGGAACAAAAGGCCCACTTAATGGTTTGGACATATGTTACGTGGGGGCCGGCGGTATCCTGTTTTTAATTATGTATCGACACCGCCTCGGGGGCTGACCTGCTTCTATTGGAACCGGGTCAGAATGGGACAGCGTTAAACATGAAAGGGACGCTCGCAGACTATCACAGCCATTCAAAGCAAACGGGAGGATCGCAACACGGCCACGGCGACCGAATCAGCACATTGGAGGGAAAAGCGGATCATTACAAGTATGCTATCCTCACTTAATGAGTAACATTAATCCGTTCGACACACAAAATCAATAGATGGGCAAACAGAAATACGAGTAGATGTTACAGTAATTATTTGAGCCCGATCCAGATGGATTTTTTTTTTTTAAGGCCCATGGTGATTCTGATATTTGGCAAAATGTACAGGTCAAACATTATAGTATGTAAGTGTTTCCCTGAAATGTTTTTTCATTGTGGCTCCAAAACAGTCTTGTCCTTTCAAGTTCCCAACCTCGCCTTTGATACTTCCTGGGTGTGTAAATTTGCAAATGCAAGAAAACTTCTCACCAGACTTCGACTCATATGTGACATGACGCAAACACCGAGAAACCTTTCGCTTGCCAACTTGCATCATCTCGAACCTTCTAAAAGAGTACATGCTCGTATAAAATCATTGAGGCGTTTTTTTGGCGTCCTCTGGTGGCCATTGTTGGAAAATAACTGATGCCGCCCATGTCGAGGGAGAAGCTGCAATTGGGACACGGCAATTGACAGCACTGAAGCTACATTATTTTCAATCGCCGCAAATGGACAAAAACTCATTTATTTTGGTCACTTTCCAGTCAAAAGTGGGTTTCTTGACGTGTGAGGTTGTGATCCCTCGAAATGTCACCAATGTTCCCCGAGCAGCTCGAACCACTGCGATGCGTATCCCTTGTCATTTATTAAGTTTCAACTGCAAATATTTTCAAATCGCCCATCTTATGACTCCACTTACCTGCCATTTCATGGCGCCAAAGGGTCATTTCAGTTGTCATTTGCTTGAATTAATCCGTGTCATTGGCTGCATACAAAAAAAAAAAAAAAAAGTGGCTTGTTGTCACTGGTTGTGCAAGTGTCCTTTGAGTTCATTGGTGGCTGAAAAATAAATAAGAAAGCTCAACAATGAACCGTGGTCAAATCACCAAACTTTATTCCAGACTGCCAGCTTCTTCTGAGCTTTAAAACACATCAAGTATCAACAGCGGAATACTCGTATGGCTCTTGCCTTCAAGGTACACCAAGAAAAATACCCTGTTTGAACACGGAACGAACGCCAAGTGCAAAAATAAGCCAAGTTGCTTCCTGTCGACCGCATCCCATAAGACGCGCACAAGTGTTTACTTTCTATGGTGTAAGGTTTTTACATTCGGGTTACATGAATGTGAATATGGAGAGGAGAGTTTGGTGGTGGGCACTTTTTTTTTTCTTTCTTATAGTCTTGAGCAGTAGTGACCCATGTCTTCATACACACACACGCGCGCAAACAGCAGCTGAAGTTGAAATAATCATTTGGCAACATATGAAGAAACACCTTGCAATACAACATGGAGGTCATATCGGAGTTTGGCACAACACGAAAGCTTATCATAATATACACCCCCCCCACACCCCCCACCCCCGACTGCTGTAATGGTACTAGTTACATGCTTGCTTTTCCCTTCAGCGAAGAATACACCGTCAAGCCACACAGAGCACGAGAAGAAAAGTCCTTTGCGTCATTTCCGCTGCCATATTTAAATGGGAAAAGTTCAAAGTAGCTTGGCGCAGCGGCAACAAATAGCGCTAACAAAGTCGCGCGGCGACCCCCGCCGACCCCTAAAAGCGTCCTATTGCACTCCAGCAGGACTCGCGCCGCGCCGTCGGAATCATTTCTGGCCTGTTTTAAACCATCTTCAGCAAACCCAAAAAAACGGATACATAGATATAGAATTCATAGCGTATTCGGTAATACTAGGCTTATTATAACAGCTGCCGCACGTCCACACGGACGCGCGGCTTTTATATATCGATTTATGACATGGAAAATGCATATTTTATACATCGCTTTCAGAACTATATAGGCCGGTGCCTCGTGACGGGCGCGGCCGGATATAACATAATAGCTATTCTAGCGTATTCTCCTCCAAACAAATAGAAATAAAGGCGGCGGCAACGGCGGGGACCGGCGCGGAGCCGCTTGAGGTGATTTTTCCCAATTAAAGTCTCCCATGCACAGAGAGGCTTCAATACCGGTCAAGACTGGTTTGAAAACAGGCCAGCGGGACCCCTCCAAAGTCTCAAAAAGCTGTCAAACTCGCAAGCTTGAACGCCCGTTTGGTCGGCGCAACCACGGCAACTTGTCTTTCTGTACATTTGCGGCCCCAAAAGGGAGTGCCCGTGAACCCCTGCTTATTCGTGTGGGTTGAGGCGCGTCTTTTGGACAAAAGTAGTGCTTTACAGCTCTTTGTGGCATCTTGCTCCCAAGGAACTCCGGTCTATTGATTGTGAGTTGAGGCCCTTCATTTAGGCAAAAGTAGTGCCTTGCTGCCATCGCGGTGAGAAGGAAATATGTTGCCGCTTCATTTTGATAAAAGCGGTGCTTTCCTGGATTCTTGTGTCATCCTGGTGCCACGGAACTATGCTGAAGCGAGCTGAGAAGCCTCATCATGCAAAGTAGCGCTTGGGCGTCATCTGGTGGCATCTTGGCGCAACGAACTAGGTTGAAATGAGTTGCGGAGTTTCAGTAAGACAACAGGAGTGTAGGATTGCAGCAATCCCGTGGCACAAGGATGCCAAGGAAATATAATGAAGTCTTCATTTAGACAAAAGTAGTGCTTTGCCAGCATCTTAGTGCCAAGGAGCTATGTTGGAATAAGTTGAGGTGCTTCAATTATACACAAAAAAAAAAGTGATTTCCTGCCATCTTGTGGCATTTTGATGCCAAGGGACTATGTTGAAGTGATTTGAGGCGCTTCAGCAGCCAAAAGTAGCGCTTTAACATCATCTTGGGATATCTTGCCGCCAAGATTTTTGTTAACTTTTCTTTTGATGGCGGCGCGGACACCCGCAGCGGCTCCTCTTGTTTCTTGTTTTATGTTGAGAGGGAAGAAATTTCATCTGTGCTGTGTGCTACACATACAGCACATTTGACAATAAAGTTGTATCCAATCCAATCCAATATGTTGAATTGAGCTGAGGCTCTTTGTTTCGACATAAGTAAGGAACTACGTTGAAGAGTGTGTGTGTGTGTTTTGGGGGCAACTATTATTCGCCAATTTGAGCTTTTTGAGGGAGGTCTTGGTCCCTAACTCCCGTGAATAGTGAGTACAACAATCTCGAGCGCCTCTTTCTGTACACGTGCACCCACAAAAGCGCACAAACTATTGGAATCATATCGGAAAGCCGACTCGGCTAGCAGCGCACACATCACATTTTGGACGCACAAGAAAACAACGTTCCTTCTCTCGGTGAGCAGGGGGCAGGCGTGGGAGGGGAGGGAATTGCGCCACCTGTCGAGATGCGAGTCAAATAAAACAAAACACAATGTCAGGCCTGCGCCTCGGACACCTCGCTCACGCCACTGTATCTTCCACAGATGTACCAAAGCTCCGGTCGCAAAGCCTCCCCCCTTCTCACCCCGCCTCCCCGAGTCGGAACGAGCACAAACTTTACATGAAAAGGGACGCCTGCTTCTAAACGAGGGATTCTCAAACTTTTTGGGTCTACGGACTCTTAACAGGGGGAGAACTCTTTCCAATGTCCCGCTCATCATCGCAACACACACCAACTTCGTGTAATCCAAATCAATATTTATCGATGATCGTAAGGTATGGTACTAAACAATATCGAGGACCCGAGTTTGAGAACCGCCGTCATCTACACAACACAAGCAGGTGAGAACTAACCGCAGCGTCCTTGTCGCGCACGCTTCAATGGACATCGGGCGCCAATGAGCATGCACGTGGCGCTTAGGGGGGAACAAAAGAAGAAGGGGGAGCCTTGTTGATCACATAATTCCACGTTTGTCTATGCAAAATGTACTCAACACGAGACCAGAGAGGCTCACGACACCAACAATCTCAAGAAGAAGAAGCAGAAGACCCCCCACCCCCCGCACGTGAATTAACTACAGCCGTGACGATATCACCGCACCCGGCGCACAACTTTCCCGCTCAGTCCTCGACGTCCCGTCCGTGTCCCCGAAACAAACAGCGGGTGGCGGACATTGCGGCCGCAATCGCAGCGGCGCCCGGGCACACGTTTGCGGCAGAAGGACGCTGTATCGCGGCACCCCGGAGGGATTACCTCGCAGCTAAAACGAAGACCCTGGTCTGGTCATCCAAACTGAGTACCTGGCGTGGCTCCGCCCCCTCTAGAGCCCGGTGAGGTCCACGATGGCCTTGATGAAGATGGTGTCGTCGCGGATGTAGGAGTTCTTGGCATCCAGCTTGGAGAAGGGGCAGAAGAGCGGGCAGCCGCTGGCAATGTTCATCTCGCTCACCGGCCGCTGGAAGGACGACGAGGTGACGTCGGGCCGGAAGGCGTCGATGATGTGCTCCCGGTTGCTCTGGTCCAGCAGCATCAGGGTCACCTGGGCGGGGTGGAAAAACTTTCAAGTCTCGACTGAGAGTCGGGTGAGAACAATCTCAAGGAGCACACGCTGTTTGATTTGATTTATTTTTCTCAAAACGCGTGCTGAGAGTTGTGTGTTTTGAATACGGGGCTCATCAATTCCTCACATTTGTTTGGCTATTGGCAGGAGTCCCCTTTGCTGTACCTTCTGGTTGAAGGGCCACTTGAGCAGGGCGTCGCTCAGGCCCCGCATCACCACAAAGAACAAGGACAAGTGGCTGCCGCGCCCCGTCCCGTCCCCGTTCAGATAGATGCGCAGACACATCTTGTAGCCGTACTTGCTGGTGTAGAAGGCTGCGGGGAACCAGAGGAAAGGAACCTCTTGGAATCGCGAGTGGGCAATGGGATAGGAGCGCAGCGACAAGAGGGCCTTTCTTACCTGGCGAGAACATGGCGGGGGCTCGGCCGGCGACGGCGTCTTGTCTCTTCTTCGCAAAATCGGAGATCCTCCACACAAAGACGCCATCGAAGGTCGTGGCGGACATTTCTCGAAGCCGGCCCTCCATCTCCGCTACCGTCAGGTCCTTCAGGCCCACCGTCCTCTCCAGCTGCCGCACCTGCAAGGCCGGTTCTCGACTCAGTCTGAGACAGCGGGGACCAAACGAACGATGATACAGGAACAGTATCTTTTTCTTTTCAAATGAAGAGCCAATTAATTGGAAGATGAAGAAACTCTTGCCCATGTTGTTTATTGTAAATGACAACTAGTCCCCAGTCTCCAATAATATCAAGGTATAGTTGTCACGTTTATCCTTGATCAATTGTGTCATAGTGACTCTCCCACTCCGAGTGGCACGCGGGACCGCCAGGCTGACCTTGTTACTCAGGGCCTCGATCTTGTCCTGGTCCAGCTTGTGCTGGCGGTTACTGGCCTCCATGGTGGTGGCGAAGCGCTCCACCTCTCTGTTCAGGACGCACACCACGTTCTCAAAGGTGCCCGCCTTCACCTCCAGCTCGGTGCAGCGGCGGCCCAGCTCGGCCACCTTGGTCTTCTCGCTGTGGAGCTGCAAGGAGGAGAACGAGCCCGGGCCGGAGGAAGAGGAGGAGGCGGCGGCGGCTCCCTGCACGGGAGGCCCGCAGGAGGAGGAGGAGGAGGTGGTGGTGCTGAGCTGGGAGACTCGAGCCTCCAGTTCTCTGAGGGACTGCTGCAGTTCCACCAGTTTGTGTCCCGCCACCTCCAGACCCTGCGGCTGCAGCCCCTCCATGCTCACCTTCATGCCCATGATATAGTGCAGCAGCAGGTTCAAGTGCTCGTAGGCAAAGGCCCGTTCGTGCTCGTGAGTCTTCTCCTTCTCCACCTGCGCACAAAAAAGCGCCGAATGACTTCGGAAGTCTGTCGGCATATCAAACGCAAAACTAGCTCGACAAGGTCACAGCCAATATCACGTTGCAAAATAAGTGCCCTGCAATTGGCTGGCAACAGGCACCCACCCCGCGACCCTTGTGAGGATAAAGCGGATTAGGAAATGGACGGATAGATGAAAATAAGTGTGGTAGGCATGTCCATCGTGAGTCGACCCGTGAAAATGTCTCAAGAAGCCGCGCCCAAACAGTCTGCCATGTTGCTCCGAGGTCGATTTTCCACCGATATCATCGTCGATAAACAAGACGGGATTTGCCCCACGGTTGACCCCTGACCGGTCCAGGGTGCACCCCATCACTTGCTCAAAGTTAGCGAGGGGACACTCCACTGATGGAAAATAGAAAGCGGGCAAATTCAAGCACATCCACCCACCCCCCCAGCCGGACTCTTAAGAGACAGCGACCGTTGTTCAATGTGAGCGCGATTCCAACTCACCAGCGGCGACCAGGAGAGTGAGGTCACTCACCGACATGTCACAGCCCACGACGTGAAAGCGACACGGCATCCTGAACTTGCTGCAGAACTTGATGTGGTCCACGTACTGGAAGACGTGACAAAAGACGGCACGAGTGACAGTTGCGGGAGCAGGAAGTGGAAAGCTTCGAGCTTACCTTCTCCCTGGGTATCTTCTTTTTGGCGCAGCCTTCGCAGATCATCGGGTACTTGGGGCAGATCTCATCGTGGGCCTGTTGAGCAAACACAAATCGGACTCGTTTATTCGCAACAGTCAATTGTTTTCATTTCATCGCATTTCCATGAGCCGCGCTAATTCCGGTACGTGAATGTGAACGCCAGATTATGCGGGCCAATCGGATTTCTGTCTCTAGGTGTTGCCATGTCAATTTCATCTGCCTGCGGCCTCCAAAACAGTTGAGCCGGTCGATGGAGCTTCAACTGTATTCGTTATTAGTTTCTTTCACTGGCCCAAATTAGCGTCAGCATTTTTCCCGTCCTCTGATTGGTTGGTCAGAACTCGGAGCCGATCGAAGAATTGGCGGATCTTAGCGCTTTGATAAATCTGCGATTTTTGACATTACATCGTAATAAAATACCATACATATTTACTTATATAGCATAAGGTGTTGCCATGTCAATTTCATCTGCCTGCGGCCTACAAAACAGTTGAGCCGGTAGATGGAGCTTCAACTGTATTTGTTATTAGTTTCTTTCACTGGCCCAAATTAGGGTCAGCATTTTTCCCGTCCTCTGATTGGTTGGAGCCGATCGATGAATTGGCGGATCTTAGCACTTTGATAAGTTTGATCTGTGATTTTTGACATTACATCATAATACACAATACCATACATCTTTACTTATATAGCATAAAACAAAGATAATGGCATTCAAAAATAAATAAGTAAATAAGGGTGAAGTTTTCTGCCAAATTTTCGGGAAAAAAAGTACAGACAGTCAAAAATTCATATCTTTCTTGTTGTAAGCGTTAAGGGACCCGGAAATAAATTCTTTGATTAACTTTTTTTTTTTTTTTAAACAATTGGACAATTAATCGGCCATGGGAATTTTACTGTGCCAAATATCGGGATTGACATTGGCCTAAAAAATAATAATAATAAATAATAATCCAGATTGGTCAGGCATTTCATAACCGTCAACTCTGATGAGTATGATGTATGATGTTGCTTTTTTGTTTGTTTCCTCACCTTGATGTTCTTGAAGTGAAAGGGTTCCTTGCAGTACTTGCAGTTGAGCGTCCTCTCCGGGCACTCGCGCTCGCTGTGCCGCTCCTGCTCGTTGAAGCGAATGCGCTCCTTGCAGGACGGGCACGGCACAATCATGAACTCGCACTTGCCCTCGTGGTTCACCTGAGACATACCGCATGGAAAATAAATGCCGGGGACGTCCTATGAACATTTTCCCGAGAGCGGACGCACCGAGACCACCTCAACAGAAGCCGAGCACGCGGCCCCGACTCCTGTGACTCACCTCATACTCTTTGACAGATCCTCTCCAAGAGCAGCTTTCATTAACGCAGACGGCCGTCAGGTTTTCCACTTCCCGTCGAACCGCATTGTCGGGAAAAGCCTTGAAAAATATCCAGGAAAAGGTAAGCAACTGCCTGACTTCCGATGGAGACGGGAGTAAGTAAGTTTAAGTAAGTTTCACATGCTGAAAAGTGTGTGGGAGGGAGCATTTTTTTCGGTCCATGTCTTAGAGGTTCACCTGCTGTGGGTGGGTATGTCACTGTACTCACACATCCTTGTTTCAGGATCGACGTGGTCTCTTCAAAAATGTCCTCCTTGATGCATGCGTTGCATTTCTGCGGTCCGTTACTGCAAAAAAAAAAAGTCACAAGGAGCCATGCTTGAAAAAACAACACAGGAATTCTTTTCCCCCCATTTCCAATTGGAACCACGTCTACACGACAGCTGGACGACACTAAACTGGGAACCATTTGGGCTTTTGTCATTGCGGAGTTTGAAGCCTCGCCTTCAAACTTAAATAAATGTGAAGCAAATGAGCCCTCGTTGTTTGTTTGCTCGCTGGCTGACCTGATGGCCAGGTTGAAGCAGTACGAGCAGAAGCGATGGCCGCACTGCGCCTGGAAGGGTCGTCTCAGGATGTTGTGGCAGCACTTGCACAGGTGCTTGTCCTCCAGCTTGTTGCCCAGGATCTTCTTGGGGAAGCCCGGCTTGTTGCTCTCCATGGACGACGGAGGCGACGGTTCCTGGGAGGCCATGCTGTCCGATCACAAGCGTTCACACCTGGGTGAGCCAGACGGCGCAGTCATTCCAATTTGTTGCATCGCAAAAAAAGTTAAGCCGATAGGGTCAGCAGCCTGGCGCTCGCCAGCACCAGGTACCGCCCAGGGACCACACGAGGGGTCAGCCAGCCTGTGAGAGATCAGGAACATGATCAGTGTCTTCACAAATGAATGTAATTAATAAAAACATATGAAAATAATTTGAGTTAATGAGTTATTTCGGAAAGCGGTCGCTCTGAAAAAGGTTGGATAGAGTCATCGGACAAGACAATAAATACGTGATGGCAACTACGTCAGAAAATCATGGGAAAAAAAGACTGTGTGATCGAGTATAGACTTGAAAAATTCGAAGAGAAACGTCATTGTGTGAAGACAATATGTAAGTAATATTTTTGACCAAAACTTGATCATTTTAAGAAAATACATTTGTCAAACTCTGGGATGGAAATCAAAACGTGTTTGTAAAACCAATTAATCAAGAAAATTATTGACATCTTAGATCGGTTATTATGAACATAATTGTTAGCTGCAGCCCTACAATAAAGTTAACAAACACAACAGAAAGTCTTGCTCTAAAGAGAATAAAGTTACATTACCAATCATAATATGAAGAGAATTAAGTCAGAAGATTCTCTAAGAACTCAAATCATAATCGTTAAGAGAATAAAGCGTGAGGAAAATAATCAATACGATGACGATGGAAAACGAATGAAATTAAAGAGAACAACGGCGACAGTCTGGATGACCCATTGGAACAACTTTATTGTTCAAATTTAAGAAATAAGGTGTAGCAGTATCAATCGAGTCGTTCCCATTGAATGAAGCCCCCTGACGTTTAAACGGCAAGCTGGAGGAAATTGAGTCCACGATTGTGTCGCGAGCATCGTTCGAGCATTTAGCAGCGAGGGCCCCGGCCGCCTTTTTGTGGGCATGTCGGCCTCCTAACTGGCTGGTTGCCGCCTCCTCCCTCGCCTCCATTGTCTTCTTGTTGCTAAGCCGTCGCGGCATCCTCCAGTCAGAAGAAGAAGACGAAGAGGAGGAGGAGGAGAAGTGGTACTCGGAGGAGAGCGAGAGAGAGCGAGAGAGAGAGGGAAGGGGTGGGGTAGGGGAGGGGGTCGGAAATCCCCCCCACCACCCCCAGCTCACCTGCTCGGTCTCCTGGTCTTAATGAGCCGCCATGGCCTGCCTGTCCTTGTCCCGAGGCTCCACTCGACGTTGTTTACAGGCGCGACGACGGCGGGCTTCTCGCTCCCGCCACAGAACAAGAAGACGGACGGGCTCCTCGGCAGCGGCGTCTGTTTTCGTCGAGCGACGCCATTGCTTCCCTCGCAACACGACCGCCGGTGACGTCACGGGGGGCGGGGCTGACGGTGGGCTTGATGACACACACACAAGCGCGAGTCTAAATGAGGAAAAAAAAAAAACAGCGGCGCATCCCCGCGATTTGTGGGGGACGCGGGGCCCCGTGACCGGCGAAGATGCCGCCCGTTGAAGGAATCGCATTTTTTCCAAACCCCAAAAATTTGTGACTTCCAATAAGCGACCTATAGGGGTTGCTCCCACCCCCCCAAAAAAATATATATGTACTTTTTTTTTGGGGGGGGGGGTTTACAGATGAATCCGCAGGTGACTAACCGTAAGTACGCAGAGTTCCACTTCAGTCACTTTTCCAACGAAAAAAAAATCCCCCTTTTTGTGAGATTAAAGATGTCTTTCGATAAAAGTCATATTCTTTCCCAAAAAATCACGAGAATAGTCGTAAGTATTTCAAAACATTATTAATGATCTAGCAACACCATTTTTTTTTGTATGAAAAGTATTTTTTGTCAAAAAATATAATTTTGTATGCACGAGTCATATATTACCAGAACTAAGGAATTCTGGCTTCTGATCCTTCTTTAATACAAATGCTCACATCGTATAAAAGCAAAGACTCCTTCATGATACACTATATTTTGAGGGATACTTACATTCTTAATATAAACACCACACCCACCCTTCTGAAACGCTTTTAATGGACAAAAAGTTGAGGGCAGAACATAATGTATTTACACACAACATGTGTAACGTTGCACTCTAACCGATTCAATCCCTTGTTTAAATTCTTTTAAAAATATAGCATTTACAATGGGCAAATATTCAGAAATGACAGACTGGACCTTTGGACAAGAAATGCAGCTGTGAAAATGCATATGAAATAACTTGGACAAGTCTGAGCTGTCTAAGTGGCATTTAAAAATACAAGTAAGTTACATAAAAATCATTTCAGCACAATTTTTTAAAGGTACGGTACATAAAAACAGTAGAAGCTCCGGAGTGCTTCCAAAGGGGGCCCTTTTTTTTTTTTTTTTTTGAGGGCATGAATACTACAGGTGATCGATACTCAATGGAGTCACATAATCCTGAGTTGAGGAGATCATTGTCCATATCTTTTTTAGGTTTCATCCAGAAGCTTCTGGAGGTTTCCCTGAATCTAAGCACAGAAACAGTAGCAGTGCGATGCCAAAACAACATTTGATGACGGAAGGACTGACGTGCCCACCGCTGAAAATCTGCACAAACCTTTTCAAGCTTAATCAGGCTAGCGGAGAGTTCGCCAACGATCGCGGCATCCTGGACCGTCACTGTGTTTCTGCAAAGAGATTAGTGTTTTGTTTTGTAGTGAATCATCAGATTTCACACAACACTGAAAAATCATATTCTTGGCAATTTAAGCATTTCAAACTGTCTTTTCAAAAAATTCTCCTCATACCCTCCGTGCAAACGATCCCTGGCGGACATCATGGCATTCAAGCGATGCTCGAGGGCCGCCATCTTGAAAGCCATGTAACACGAGGACATTAGCAGGACGCCGACTCTGTTTTTGGAGGATCGGCAAACATCTCAAAACAGCCTCAACAACAAATTTCATCTGGCGCGGCACGTGGTCAACAGACTACTCACAGGAACAAATAGATTAGCAGCACGGAGAGCGAGGTCGGGTGAGGCCCGGCTTTGTCCGTTGTCAAATTCTGGGCTAGAGGAGGGATGGCACTCTTTACAGCGGCTATAAGAAGTCTACACACCCCTGCTCAAATGGCAGCTTTTTGTCAATTAAAAAAAAAAAAAATGAATAAGATGTGCTGAGGACTTTTGTGACTGGGTGATTTCTCGTCATGAATTGTTCAAGGCGGCAATTTGTCATGAATAACCGACGAGATGAATCATGCAGGACGGAAAGACCAATGAGTGTGACGGTACCGTTGTTGCCTCGGCTCTTTTGGCCTGGCGGCAGGTGGACGTCGGCGTGCACTGACACCTCCCTGCTCAGAAACGGGTCGGGGAGGCCTGCGAATTCTGCTCCATGAAATGCAGAGTGAGGGAGAGACAGACAGAGTTGAACGCAATCACACAGTTCTCAACGCATGTACAAAAAAGACCCACGATCCAACAACAAATGGGTGAAACCCGGCACCCGCAACGCTTTCGCAACCTCACGCGCGTTCCCGTCACCCACCGTCCATTTTGTCACAATCGGGAGTTTGCGACCCAGAACTGCTACTACTTTCCGCCTCCATTTCCCGTCGCCTCTGTCGCACCACGCCATCCAGGTCAGAGAATGTGCGGCTGAAGTCCTGCCGAGCGCGCACAGGAATATTTATACAATGGGCCCACTGCTGAGAACAAGGACCTTGCTTTCGACACGCGCTACAGCACAAAAATGGAATGAAATAAAATAACAACATTCCAGACCAGAGGAAGAGATGGCAGGAGCTTGACTCCAAAGCCGTCCTCGCAGGCGGAGGCCACGTGACTGCTGCATGTCTTCTCCACCTACAAAGTTGTCGCATGTTATAGTTAGCATGTGCGGGATTTTGTTCATCCAAATCATTCTGAATGTTTTTGTTTGAATGGAATTGTTTCTTTTTTTTTTTTTTAAACTACGTTGTTCACTGGACGACTCGAGCCGCCGCACAACAAATGCTAACCCAAAAACCGAAACCCATGCAGCTCATTTCGGACATATGAGCGATTCAAGTATTAAAGTGGAGCTTTTTTGGGCTCCACAGAATCACTTCGGGAATGCGTTTGTTTGGACTGACCTCCAGATGAATGCACACGGACCTCAGGAACTTGTAAGCGGTGTTACGAGACAGGAAGGACACAAAGACATGCTGGAAAAACACAACGTGGGCTCAAGTTAAGATGAATTTGGGCTGTGGTTGTTCAAACTGTGCTCGAGCCCGCTTCACTCCTGGAATCTGGTAGGTCTTTCTTTTGTTTTGTTTTGTTTTTTTCAGGATTCAGGTGCATCCTCCAGATTGGTACATTTTCACTCCGCTGGCACGCACGTGCGCACTGTATCGGTGGTATTACCTGCTCCCGTGTGCTTTCGATCACCAGGGCGTTGGGCACCAGCAGTGCTGTTTTCGTCTTCTTGATGAATGTCACAGACGCCGTACGGATGGCGATCTACGGAGAAGTTTTTCAGTGTTTCAGAGCCGGCCACCTGCCAAGAGAGTACGTCATACCTTTGTATCCCTGCCAAAGACTTTGGAGTGGAAGCAGATCCAGTTTGGTGAGACAAACATTTTGCCCTGATACAAGATGTCTCTCTGCAGGGCGCATGTGTAGCCTATCAACAAAAAAAAAAAAAAGGTGGGTGGATGGGGGCTGGGGAGAAAAAGTCACATTCGGAAAACAAGCAGTTTCTTCACTGCGGCGGCGGACATACTTTGTGTGAGCGCTTCGTCTCGGCTCACTTCCTTGAACAACTTGTGAAACTGCACGTTCGTCTTGGACAGCTGGAAGAAACCAGAAAACTGGAATACATCAAGCATGATCAACGCATTGATTTGTTTTCAATGTTGAGAATGGAGCTCATCATGTGGTGCAGCAACACATGGAGACGGACAGACTATCTTTGGCCACATATTTGGGCTTCGGGATTTTTTGTGGGGAACTCTCCCCCAGTATTGATGGAAAACCCCACTTATTCACTTTTTTAAATCCAAAGAAAAAAGTCGGACATACATCCATAAGTGTTTTTTGTGAAAAACAGGGTTGACACTCCTCAGAAAACACACAATATGTTGAAATATATACATATTTTCCAAATTGAAAACACATCCGTGGAGCATGCGGGGTGACACTGTTTCTTAAATTCCGTATGTTCCTGAAGGTACCGCCTCGGGAACTGGAGCTTGGCTGGTGGTTGCTGGAAAAGCAGGAAGTACGGGAACGCACCTGGGCGGACGGCGACTTTTTTCCCTCCGACTTCGACAGCCGGAGGTGAGAGGGCCTCCTCCGACCAAGCGGACTTTCGTTGTCTGCCTCATAACTTTCCACAGAGTCAAACAAAGTCACGTAAAAAGGACTTGAATACAACTTGGAATAAAATTTTCATCCAACGCTTCGTAATAACCGAAAGGAAGTGAAGTGAGCTCCAGCTGGCCCGAACTCACCTCCTCCCGCGTCGGCACTCCGTCGTCCGGCACGGCGGAGTCAACGGTCGCTCGGCCGGCTCGCCCATCACCACCGTGTCGCCCTCCCCCTCATCCCCCACCGCCGGCCACCCCCGCGAGGAGCCATACGAGATGCCCCGGGGGTCCAGGACCTTTGCACAAAGGGGAGAAATTGTGGGAAAAGTGGCTAGATGGAGGAGGAGGAACCGGGGAGGAGTCGGGGGAGAGGCCGGGAAAGGGGGCGCGAACCCGGGAGCGCTGGAAGAAGAAATTGCCTCCTTTTGATACTAAAAAGAATTCCACGACTGCATTCCTCGTCATTTCATTCACTAATTCTCGGAGTTTTCACAAGTTCTAATTCCGATTAAAAACAACAATAACGAAGAAATCCATCCTTTCGTCTGCTTTTTGGGCCACGTCGATGTGATTGACTAAGATGTCCACCAGAGGGCAGCAACGTCAATAATACAGTATTTCAACATCCGTTTTGTAGGCCAGATCCAAATCGTCAAGTGTTCAAATGAAGTGAAATGACAAATACTTTCTGGAGTTTCTTGTTCGTGAATTGTGGAACAAACGTGAAATGGGCTTTTCAAGACAGAACAAGAGGTTGAAAACAGAGTTAGTGTTTCAAAGGTAGGACCTCCAACCGGGGTAAGAGTTCTAAGATATGCTTAGATTTTCAAAGCAGGGTTCCAAGACAGGTTTGCTGATGTGTGTAATGTTGCACGATTACCCTGTTCGGTGAGCCACGTTCCATGTTTTGTGTGTGTGTGTGTGTGTGTGTGTGGTGGCCTGATGACAGCTTCATGACTGTTGCGAAACATAACAGCCCACATCTGTCCACTTCTTTTGTCAGACATAACTGGGACAATCCGAGTGGGATAAAATTGCAACTGTATCAGATGTTCCCCTGTCGCAGGTCGGTCTGGAATATATCACAATTTTTTTTTTTCCAAAACTATTTTTCTTTCAGTCTCGGAGCATGAATTACCTATGAGGAAACCCAGCTGGGATGGTCATGTGACGAACAAAAAGACGCTTGATAAAATCTTCCCATGTCCTTTGGAGATGATTTATTCTTCACACACACACACACACACACACAATGGAGTCAGTGTGTGTGGGCACACAAGTTGCCCTCCTGAGAGGAATCTGGCATGAAAATCAGACGACAGAGAGGGAATCATATTTTTGATTTATTTGACAAAATACAACTTGTTACATTTCCAAACCTACAGAGCCCCTGATTTGCGACCCCTGCCCCACAAAAAAAAATTTTAGGCAGAAGTAGTAGTCGTATTTATTCAACTGTTGTACTCTTGAAGTAAGTGGAGTCTGAAATGCAAAGTAGCAACCAACCCATCAATGTAAATTTAACAACAAAAACTGCATCTTCACCGGAAACTTGTTGCTAATGGTACAGGCTGCAATTTGTCCCAGGCAAGAAAAAATGAAAAACTCCAGAGACTTATCCTCAATCTGTTGTTGTGGTCTTTGTGGGGGGGAACAGTCAAGACACCCACCGTAAACGCCAGCAGCTGTTTATGAACGACGGCGGCCAATCGGAGGGGGAAGGATGCGAGATCAAATAATTTTTCGCAAGCGAAAAGGCCGACGCGGCATTTTCCAGCCATGCCGACAAAGGCCAAGAGTGTGCCTTAAGGAAGAAAGATACATTAAAGATGGAAAAAATGTCTAAAAAAAAATAATGTGCAGATAAAAATATCTTAAATAAATCCTGAAAATATTTGAGAGTACATTGTAAAAATAATACACGATACATACCGTATATAAAAATAATATGAAATAAAAAAAAAAAGATTATTATTTGGGTACCATTTTATCTGGCCTTGATGTGCTCATGTACATTTTAAATGAATCCTTCTCTTTTTTTCCCCACGTGTGTAAAGGAGGAGAGGCGGAAAGTCGGACCGGGGGGCCGCCATCGATTGTCTGCCATTTGGGATGGATGAAGCAAGCATCTAGCATCAGTCAGTTAAAAGTGCATGATTGACAGTGTAGGATAGTGGTTTGAAACTACCATCATCATTTCCCCCCCCGCCCCCTGGAATATTCTATTGAGCCGACCCCGTTCATTGCGGGAGATGCATCCCAGACCTATTCCGAACATCAAGAGACCATTTAATGCAATTCATCATGTTAGCCCTCCCACACACTTTCAAACACACTTAAAATGATCAAACTATTGATTGCTATGGACCCCCCCCCCCAAAAAAAGTAATTGAATTGTCATTTATGTTTGTGCATTTTCTGCAATGTCACTTTGAAACAATGTCCTGTTTTCTAATAAGTGATGGAAATTAAAACCTGTTTTTTAAAATCCGATTCACAGATGAATCAGCAAACTAATGGACAGATTTATTCGTGAAATATTTTCTGGTTGAAGCCCAAAGTGCATATATTTATTCATCTCTTATCGTCATTTTTTTAATTTAATTTGATGATGTTGGCTCACTTTTGACGAGTTCTGTGGTGCCGTGATCGTCTTTCGCGGGACATTCCGATTGCTGTCCGCTCTGCTGATGTCCAAACTGGAAGAGGATTCTCAGCTCGCCCATGTGACAGCGTGGGAGCACTTCGGGGGTCCACTCGATGACAAAAGGGCTGGGGTCGTCCGGGTCATCCGAGCCGGGCCCTGGTATGGCCGGAGATGAAAAACCTGCTCAAACGCGTGCGTATAATTAGAATACGAGGCACTCACCAACTTTGAGGAAGGTCCAGAGTTCCATGGGACGAATGGCTAGCGTCCTATCCGCCCTGATGCCATCCGGCGGCTCAGGTTCAGGCGGAGGTTCGGGACAGTGAAAGCGGGAGTAGGAACCATCCACGTTCCGAACGAAACTCTGAGTGAGCTCCAACTGCAACTGGCGGACAGAGGACGGCGACGCGGGCATCAGACGCCAGGAAGGGAGAGTACATTTGGGGGGTTGTTTACCTCAGGGGTGTCAAAGATGTGTTTGACCTGTGCGAGGTTGGTGATGTGCCAGGTGTACTTGGAGAAGGAGCCCTGAGGGACGCCATCATTCCTCACCAGCACTGAAGCGGACACCGAGACATCATGGAGTTTGGGCTGACCTGGGTTAGCGATTAGCCTGGTGAAAAAGGCCCCCACCTGTGGTGAAGTTGGGCAGCCGCCTCTTGGAGCCCGGCGACAGGCGAGCCTGCAGCGCATTGAAGTAGTGCTGCGGAATGTAGTACACCAGAGGCTCGGGTTTCCCTGCGGGGAAAGAAAAAAAAATGTTCCGAAATTACTGTTACTGAACCAAAGGAATGTGACGAGGGCATATTTTGTGAACTTGGATGAAGAGGCATTTATACTTCGGGCTGAAATCACTTCTGTATTCGATTTGCGTGCAGCAGAACAGCTAAATGCCACTTCACCATGTTTGCTTTGAAACCTGACTTTGCAGAACCCTCGTGGGTTTGTATTCACTTCGCATTTCCTCCATGAATTCAGATCCCAAGCCATTCGGTGACTTCTAGGCATTGCTAGCTAGCTCGCTAACTGCATGTCACAATGCGGCGGGGGCGAGCGCTGATGCAAATGAAATCGCTCAAGTTCTTGTAGAGCGGTGACAGGGCAACTCCTACCGGGGTAAATGAGCACCTCCCTTCATCTTGTCTTCAGTCATGCATTTCGAAAGAAATTCACTCGACCGAGTCTTGAACACTACAGGAGCGACTTTGCATCCTAAATGCAACTGGAAAACGGGGCGAGCTGTGGAAATTTGCTTGCCTACCGTCAAACTGGTAGTGCATCGTCTGCTGGATCCTCTCTGTGACGCTGGCCAACCACTGGTAGAAACTCATGGACACGGAGGCCTCGTCCACCACCTGACCGCCACCTGGGCCACGGCGGTTCAATGACCAGGAACAAGTCACAGGAGGAAGAAGAAGCCTTAAATGATTTGGACTCGTACCCGAAAGAGCTTCGTCCGGGCGCGGCTTCTTGGCTTTGTGAGGGTATTTGATCACTTCCGTGGGAAGAGGAGGGGGCCTCTCGCAGGGAACGAGGACTCTGCCGGTTTGGGTAGGTAGAATGCCTGAAAGACACGGCCGTGAAAGGCTCTCATCGATTTATCGGATTCATCAGACACCATTGAGGACCTTGCAATATGAAACGCAAGAACGCGCATTTGTCCTCTTGGGGTTGCCATCATCTCGTTCTGGGTACAGATTCAAAAGGCGTGCCTCGGCTTGGCGCGTGACGGAGTTCATTTCCGTAATCGACAGGGACAGTTTTAGATTTGGAACATTTCCCAAAGGAAACTTTCCATCTCGTTGGAACCCTCCGGCCCCATCAGATGACGACTCGTACCAGTTGTGGCGGGGTTGATAAAGGCGGCAAATTCGCACGCCAGTTTCTCATCGCTGGCGAAGGCGCAGACGCAGGCATAGAAGTGCAGGCAGGGGCGCAAAGGGTCCAAGTCGGTGGTGGCGCACGTTGCCTCGACCCTCCGCGGGCGGCAGGTGCAGTGAAACGCCGCTTGCTGCTGTGTGACGACAACCTCCCGAGTCCCCCTGGCGCTTTTCGCCGCCTCGGACGGTCCGGCGCCACCGCCGACGGTCAGGTGCAGAAGGCCCAGGGGGTGCGCGGCATCCGGGTGGCACTTGACCACCAGCGTGTCGCTGGACACTCGCTGCACCAGGGGGCCCGGGGACTCGGTGGCCAGGTTCCACAGGTCCTCTTTGGCCCGCATGGAGGCTGTCAACGCCTCCAGGACGGAGCTCTTGACGCTGAGAGGGACGGCGGAGCGGCGACACTCGATGGCGGTCTTGATGTGGACGCAAAGGGCGTCGGGCGAACCGGACTTGGACCGGTCCGACTTTGAACCCTGCCCACAGGCCGGCACGAAGCAGCGGCCCATGTTGATCTGAGACAGCAGGGGGTCCCGCTCGCCCGTGGAGATGGCGGCGTCGGTGGGTGACAGCTCCACAAAGCCCAGCCGGGCGCATCCTCGTCCTCGGTGGCACACGGAGAACACCTGTGTTCGATGTGAAACGACCGAAATGACATCTCGGAGATCGGCATTGAGATTTATCCTCGTGCGAACAGGAACAGCAACCACACAGCAAAAGCAGCATGCAGCATGCTGTTTGTTTGCATTTGCCGTGGCAGGTATGTTCACACAAAGCTTTGTGGAACGTTTAGTATGGAATTAATATCAATCAGTGAATTCAACATGTGGGCCCGTCCGTCCACAAGAAGCTACGTTAAATACATGTGCAACCAACCTGAATGCCGCTCGCTCCTTCGTCATCCCGCTCCCTCCCGTCTCGCCCCTCACTGTCGATGATCACTCGGACCGCATCCACGGAGCCCTTCCGCCCCCCCCTGGTCCCCGAGGTGGCGTTCCGGAGCGATATCCCGCATGCCTTGTTCTTGCAGCTTAGCCCCCGGGTGCCGTTGTAGACGCCGCAGCGGGGACACTTGCGGATGCCGCGCAGGGTGGCCCTCCCAAGGTTGGAGAGGAAGGCCGGGGTTGAGGCCGGCCCCGCCGCCTTGGTGCGGACGTCCCCCTGTTTGGCAGCTAGCGGGGGCGCGGACAACGGTGGGATGATGGGAGGTGACACGCTTTCCATTGTCCGACTGGTCAAGAAGGAAATGATTGGATTATTTAGCGTGTACGGTTTTCAAAATAAACACGTCTAGACTGTGTTTAAACTCATTCACTCATCCCCTACTCTCTCATCAGGATACAGTACACCCCTGCCCCCCATTTCCCAGGCTGACAGTTGCTGAGTCTCAGTTTGTTTTTAAAACGGTCTTCTTATTTTCCTCTGAAATTCACGTCTTCTGTTTTGAGCTCAACGCCAAGCAATAAGAGCGGTACTTTGGCACCACCTAGTGGCACCCTGGAGGAGGTTCATTCAGACAACCTCTGAACTGTGGGCCTGACTGGCAAAAAGGAACTGGAGTCCTTTTCCTCCACCCCGTGGCATCAAATAGAATACACCATCGCCCTCTTTCTTTTCACTTTGATTTGTGAACGGTGGGCGTGAGACGCCCTCCCAGACTGAGAAAATAATTGTAAAATCTACGTTACAATATCAAATAGAATACTGGAAGAGCTTAAAGGGGACTTCGCGATTTCTGACGGGGTTATAGCACCCCCGGTGTAGCGCCATCGCTCGCGGGAGCATACGTTCACAGTCATGCGCAAGCACGGACAACACTCCTGAGTTTCGAACCCCGAACCAGAGAAATTGTGTATCAGACGTGCATTGGTCCAAAGTCTTGACGTAATTCGGAGATGAACTTGAATAAAACAAGTTAATCTTGACCCCTCCTTGGCTCGTTATATTGTCTTACTTTATTTAAGTGCAAGCACTGCAGGTGACTATGACTAAATATCGCGTCAGGTACCTGAGAAGGTTCCCTTTGGTCAAGCAGGGCTCCATTTCTGCCTCCAGATACGTTCGTCCGTCGCCATTGCTCCTTACATCGCAACACCCGCATTGCGCCTGTAACGGCACTTCGGACTGGTCCGAGGGAGTCACGTGAAAAAAGTGGGCGGTGACTCCCGGAGGGAGGTGTCGCGGGACTTGTCGTAAATATCAAAAGACTGGTGACAGATTTATTATCCCACTCCCGTCACACCGTTCGTCGCAAAAATACAGCTTGTCAACATTGTTTAGCTAAACCACCAGCCGATTCTTTTGCTTGGCTTCTGTACAGCAAATTGTCCAAGGATGGCGGCGAGTCATTTTCTCAAAACAAAATTGAACGTGCTGGGGAACCGGAAAATACACGCGCAGCCTTTTTATTCGCATACACACACTCACAGCTCCAAAACACATGCGAGGCCTCACACGTTTTGACATACACACCGAGTCGCTGATAGTGTAGCGGTACACTCGCCTGACTTGTGTGCGGGTTGCGTGGGATTGATTCCGACTCAGCAACAGTGTCAATATGCTTGTGTAATGGTCGTTTGTCTCCATGTGCGCCCTGTGACCGACTGAAGGACCGGTTCGTGGTCTTGTCCGTTTTTCCGCCCCAAGTCAGCTGGGAGAAGCGGTGCTGAAAATGGACGAACGGGTTTGCAGACTCATTGACACAAATTCAGTTTGTCTCCCATATTTTCACTCACTCACTGGCAAATTTACTGACAGGATTCATTCTTGCATACTTTCGCACTCACATTTCCACTTATTTAGTCACAAATTAATTTCGCTCTCATAAATTCGTTTACACGACGTGCAAATTCACGCTCTCTTATAATCGCGCACGCATTGACACACTCATGTACAGACAATCCCAAATTCAGTCTCGTTCGGGCACTCGTTTTCAAATCGCACTCACATTTCAGACAGTGACTGCCATAATAAAACATTCTAATGTTCACACTTATGTACTCACCACATCAACTCACATTCATACCGTCATATTCGTACTCACATATTCACGCATACAAGTGTCCCGAATGAACATCATGTCTTTATACAGATACAATTGAACAGAGCGCTCAGTTATTTACAATAAGACTTCCAAAATGATGTTACAAAACAAGGTGGAATGCAAAACAAAACAAAAACACTTCAAATTGAGTGATTTTTTTTTTTTAAGTAGTTGTGCAATATTTGTCTGCCTGGTAAGTAAAGACAAGCGTGGCAGTTGTTTTCCCTGCGAGAAGTTGAAAATCCAATTTAAAAGATAAAAAATAAAGTTGGCAGCCGCTCGATGCTTCCGAAACAAAATCGCGGTGTGACTGCGCAGTCAAGTCACCCAAAATTAACAACAAAAGAAAGGCAAAAAGCTCTTTTATCAAGCCGAGAAAGGTGAAAAATGACTAAATTAAAAACGGTGTAGTCCTTCTTTCGGATCGAGAGGGGTGTAGGAGCGGGTGGGGGAAGCGGAAAGGGCGTAATAAGAGCCCGACTTGTGTGTCAAAGTATCAGTTCATGCACACAAAATCGTTCAGGTTACTCAGTCCGTATTCTTTGCTTCTTCCTCAGTGATTTCCTACATTTCACAGAATGACTTCAGCACCCTGAGAACTGGCCAGGACTAACAGGGGAGGGACGAGACAACACGGATCGGGGAGAGGGAGGGGGTGGGGAGGAGAAAAAAAATCTCTTTGGCTCTGCAAAACAAAACCTGGCGACGGCAAAGACCTGATCCAACATCGCCTTTTGCTGATCTAAATGGTAGCTGTGCTCAGCTTGTCATGTACATGATGGTGGAAAAGACGCAGAGTGCGCTTTTTTTCTCCAAACCAAACCAATTAAAAAAAAAAAAAAAAAAAAAGTGGGGGGGTTGGGGGAGAGAAAGAGAAAATATTGCCGAACCGATGTCCCTAACCAGAGTGTAATGAGTGGCGTCCAGCGGGCGAGATCAGTGGGTGTGAAAGCCAGCCTGGTTGGCGAGCATGGTGCCGTTGACGCCCTGGCCGGGTTCCACCATGCCCCCGTTGCTGACGGCGCCGACGCCGGTCCACCCGGCGGCGGAAGGAAGAGGACTGAACACAAACACAAATGGAGGGGGCTTTATGTTTCAGACACAAGTTTCAACTCAACTGTACTTCTGGAGCACTTGAAAACAACCACCGCGGTATACAAAGTGCTGTCCATGGAGCAAATATCATACATACATACAACAATAAACAAGCAATTAAGAACGAAGACAGGAGAAAGCAGAAAAACAGTAAAACTGAGATCAAGTCTGAGATCAAGTCTGAGTCATGCTGAGTCATGCACACGGAAGCTGTTTTTTGACCACCTCTATCACAATATTTAGGAGTTTTGTGTATTTTATATCCAATGTACAAATATGTCTAAATTGAGGTTCCTTATTTTTAATATTCGATACTGCAACATTTTACTGTTACATATTCGACTTTATTTTGGTATCTAGGTAAAAATGCTACTAGCATACTCAAAATTAAAACACGCACATCGTTAAACGAACAGCAAAACTGCTCAAATTACTGATATCAAAAATCCTAACACCCCCTTCCCCAAAAAGTGTTTATTCTTTATGGTTATCTAGAACATCAGTTTTCCACTCCCTGGTGATCTGAAAAAGTTGACGGCCAACAAACTGGACTCTTCTTTTTTGTTGAAATCTTTGTGTGCGTTTTTTTTCCTTTCCTCGGGCAATTAATTCTGCGATGGGGAAAAGCGGCCCGCAAACACTCACTTGTAGCACTGCTGATCCCAGCTCTGCCCGTAGACGCCATAGCTGGGTACCTGCCAGCCGTTGGGCACGTACTGGCCGATCTGCTGCGTGTTGCCGTACCACTGCCCCCACTGGTTGTAGGGCTGCGCCGCAAAGCTCACCGTGCTCTGAGGCAACTGGACCTGTTGGATGGGGTTGACCATGTCCGTGGTCTCCTTGCCCCAGTAGCACTTGACCACAAAGCCCTCCACCGACGTGCCGTTGACGGAGACGATGGCGTGGGCGGCCGCCTCGTGCGAGTTGAACCTAGACACAGTCAAGTCTCGCTCTTGATCAAAAGTCACCAGACGCTAGAACGGCTTTGGGGTAGCTGTCACTGCCTATCAATGCCACAAGATGGCGGCAAAGCACTTATTCATAAATCCCTCATGCGCTCATCAGCTACAATTATTCAACACAACCGAACATCCTGCACATGATGCTCATCAATAGAATTCGCTTTTATACCAGCCTGAATAAACTGCGAGACCAAACTGAGGTGACAGTCATACACTGGCAAAATCTGAAGACTGATAGCGACAACACGGCTGCATATGGCGCCGCTGACTGCGCTCAGCTGACCACAGCCGCGTTGTGAGTAAAAGCAGCGCCTCAAAAACGGGTAAGCCTTCATGGCTTCAAAACTGACCTCACAAACGAGTAGCCCTTGTCCGGGAAAACGCGGATTTCCATGATTTGTCCAAAAGGCGAGAAGGTCTGTCTCATGATTTGCTCTGTGAAGAAACAAGCATTTGAATGTTGATCTCATCAGGAGAAAGGTGGGTGGTCCCGCCCCCCTCCCCCATTTTAAAAGTGTTCCCAGGTGTCTCCTCAATCTATCTGCGCTGAACTGTGTTGGTGTGACGACTTTGCAAAGGTCACCGCGCTCACCCCAGACAGTTCAAAAGCCCATTTCTCATACTACATCCTCACCAGTGAGACCTGCTGTGACTCCGCCGCAGTAGACGGTGCAGTTACTGAGACTGGACTGGTTGACCACCTCGTCGAAGGACAGCTGCTTCGTGCTGCTCGCTGCCAGACACAACAAGGCATTGACGTTCGTTTTCTACTTTCATGAGTTTGGAATGATACAATGTCACTTAAAAACATTCCCTGATCTCCTGGGTAAAGTTTTCCAAATGTGCAACTTTTCTGACACATTTAGCGATTCCAATTCATTGGAATTGTCCAAACATGGACCCTGGGGCAACTAAATTTTTTTTTTTTCATTTAATTGAAAAAAAAAAAAACAAAAACAAAACAGAAATGTTCGTCAGGAGCAGATGCCCGAAAAATCAAAGCACTTTAAGGTGCCAAAGTTGCATCTGCATTTGAGGAGTTTCGACTCTTTGCACATTGATCCGAAACCCTCACAGCAATTCCAAATTTAAAATGTTCAGTAAATTCTGGACATTGATGGCACTCTTTTTCACGTTGCCCAAATTCCCACATTGTGTTCATGATTCTACATGAAGAAAATTGAGCAAATCCTTCCACGTTCCTGAACATAGTCAAAACATTTCAACTTCATCGAGTTCGGTGCTTTCAGATGCATCTTGGAGAGAGTTTTTGGACACTTTTTTTCAGGATTCCACATCTTCCATGACTAGATTGCAAATAGATGCAATAGACATTTGACAAATTCACCTCCTCCTCTTCCTCCATTTTTCCGACAAATGAAAAAAGTCCCAAATCTCGCCATACACTTTAATATCCAATTCCACAACATTTCAGTCCCTCGTCAGCTCTTCAGCATTCACAGACATTTTCCTCAAAAATTGCCTTTCTGTAGTTCTTGCAAGACTTACTCTCATTGGTGGTTTTGGGTGTGGGCTTCCGTGTGGCCCAGTTCGTCCTGATCTGCCTTCCTCCCAGCCACTGGCCTCCCATCTGCTGGATGGCGTTCTCCGCATCCTAAGCACAACAACAACAACGTCAAGCCGGCGCCCCCCAGCCCGTCCGGGGCATGAAGCGACGTGACGAGACGAAGCGCTCACCCATTTGTTGAAGAAGGACACAAAGCCGTAGCCTTTGGACTTGCCGGTGGCCATGTCCTTCACCACCCGACAATCCCTGCAGATAAATGCACACAGAGAAACAAGGCGGCAAATTTCATTTCAGAGCATCGCACCTTCAGTGTGGTGCCACAAGTCAGGCGGCATTGAGGTCTAGCATTAAGCGAGAGGGACTAAAAAAAATAAAATAGAAAAGCACAACACTATTCACTTACGATATTTTCCCAAAGGGACCAAAGGCCGCCTTGATGTCGTCTGTGGTGATCTCAGGACTCAGATCTCCGACAAAGACGTGGAAGTGACCTAAAACACGT